CCCCCCCCCCGCAACTTTTTCCCTCTGTAGCCCCTTCCTCCCTCTTACTGTCAGACCCTGCTCCGACTCTGTTTCCCTCCCTGGACTCATGTGTAGGATGCAAGATAGTAAGGGGGGGAGACGCACAGAAGCTGCAGAGGGCAAGCAGAAGGTAATCTGAACTGCAGAAGACCAAAAAACACTGACTTCAGAATAAATATGCCCACATTAATTTGCATATATGCAGACTGATAAACTTAGATCATCCGGAATTGATGCATTGTACCTTATTTTACAAACTGCTGCAAGTTTTAGCACATACTCCATAAACACACTCTTGAGCAGCACTTTTGTACCTATTTATACATAGTACAAACTGGGCGCATCTGCACAAGATGCTGTGTTGCCATAGTGATGAGCTGTGGAGACAGCTCATCGGTACAGCAGCGTAGCATCAGGGAGTGCAAACTGTGACACTGACGCTATGTCATGGTAATGACAAGCTACATCACCAGAGCTCATTGCTCCGGCAGCATAGCAGCTAAAAATAACCGTGCACTGCCGGGTATTGCAGTACCAAGTGTGCAGTCAGGGGCATGTGTAGATATGCTCACTATGCATGATATTAGTCCAAACTCAAAAGGCTCATGATCTATCACATAGGTCATTAAGCTGGGCCTCAGCAAAGTCAGCAGTGTTAAGCCATGGTGACCCTGCAGTCCAGCATTGTTCAGTATGTGTGTATGCGTGTGCGTGCGTACTCCAGTTACCCCTCACAAAGGATCCATGTGCTAATTAGCTGCCCACTCATGACTGGACCCCAGTAGTTTTGTATAAGTCCTAGGATCCTCCAAAATTTTATATGCATATGAGGCACAGGGCTGTCTGATCTGGCTCCATTCCATGGAGGGTGGAGCTGCACCTGTCACATGCAACAGTTCTAGGAGAGGGGGTGACAGACTGTCATCTACATAAATGTATGATGCTATTTGCTAGGCATTTAAGACTGGTGAATAAACAGGAATAATTGGAAATGGGGGAAAGGGTACTGCGCAGGTGTGGAACTGAAGAGGAAGCTGAAATGTATTCGATGTATTGGTTCACCATGAGTGAAAAAGGGTCAGCAGGGGAGATACCATGATCAATCAGGTGGTTTTCCCAGGGTGAACCTGGCTTTTGCACTCTGGGCAGGCTGATGTCTGCAAGCTTCCCAAATGTAGTTACGCTCAAGCGCACATTCGGTGGTAGTGGGGGACTGTGTTTGCACTTTCCTCCTTGTTTTCTCCTTTGGCCTTGAGGGCAGGAACAAGTGTCATAAGGGGACATCCAAACGGTAATGCCTTCTGGGTTGGGGCCTGCATGTAGAATACCTGCTACAGATTTGAGGCGTATCCAAAATCCCAGACTGATGGGTCGGGGAGGGAGAAGACTTGCCCTGTGGTAGAGTCTTACAGACTTGAATGATTGAGCACTGCTTAGTCTATTTGGAATTTGGAACTAATTGGTCCTTGAGCCAAAAAAAAAAAATTGGTATGTTTGCCTAATATGGGTCATACGTTTTACAGGCATGCTGTGTGGGCTGCATTCAGTTAGCTTCATAGTTGGTTTCCATTACTGAGCACATGCTGCTTTTAGCAGCAGTTTAATGATAGACAATATATTTAATTAGGAGGTTTTCCTATATGCAAATATAGGACGAGAAGCTTTTTTCCCATGCTGTTTGTGGGGTGAGGACTTCGTCTTATATTAGAGTAAATGCAGTATTTAATGTTGCAAGCACTACCTATTAAGTAACCCAGAACGTTAGGCAGTGAATAATGCTTGCTCGATTTATGATGGGTCATGGCTAGTACTGGTATAGAAAGGAAAAAAAAAATATTTTAGATTTGTTCTGAATGTAATTAGAATGAGCAACATGTGTAATACTGCCGTGTTCTCAGTGGTTCCTTTTTCTCTTACTCAACTATAATCAATTTTCAGAGAAGTCTCATGTTTTTTGCTTAAAGAATTTAAAGCTTCTTTTTACTCAAGTCTCTTCTGGTTTAGAAGAAAAAATGATCAGGGAGAGTACACAATATAACCAAAAGGTAGCAGGCTTAAAAAAATTGATGAGATTTCTTGGAAATATTAATTTAGCAAACATTTTATAGCAAATATTTTATGAGGTGTTAACCCCACATGAATTTGTCTAATTTTTGCAGGACTCTGAGGAAGAAGATAATGAGTTGGAGGCTATTAACAAGAAGCTGATAAGTTCACAGGGTATTCAGAATTTTCGGCCTTATGTACCTGAGGAGTTTGCTGACTTCAGTGTTTACAATGCCAGCCTGGAGAACAGGGAATGGTTTTCCTCTAAAACAGACTTCATAAGTTCACGTGTTCATGAGAAAGAGGTGTCCCGCAGTCCCACCACTAGCAGTATCACTAGTGGATACTTTTCCCACAGTGCCTCTAATGCTACTTTGTCTGACATGCTTGTTCCTGGTAGTGATAGCACAGATCAGCTAGCCAGTCAAATGAAGGATCTGGACTCTACTGACCATTCAGGACCACCTCTTGCACATGATGTAAGATCTTCTTTGAACAAGGAGTTTCCGGAGTCAGAACAGGAGTTAGCTAAAGAAAAGGTATCCATGTCACCACTAAAAGAAAACAGTGCCTTAACAGAAGAAATACCACTGTCCCTAGATACTACTAACAAAAACTCTGAGAAATTACATAGGGCTGACTCCTGTTCACCATTAGATTCCTCAGCTAGCAAAAACATCCGACCTACAGTTGAGTTTTCATCGCGTGAAGTAACAATTGAACATACTACAGATGTTCTTGAAGATCACTCGTTTACAGAATTCATGGGTGTCGAAGATGGAAAGGATTTTGACCATTCGGTAATTCCACAGCCGTGTTCCGCTGATTCCTCTAATGGAGTGGAAAAAATCACAACTACTGGGCTGGACAGTGCCTCTGATTTATCACAGAACACTGACACTCAGCAGGTCTCTCACTTGGGCCAGCTGGAATGTATGACAGTAGATTACCAGCCTTCAAACACTACTGAAAACCCTTTATGTTCTGTACTAGTAGAAGAGACTACATGCTGTCAGACATACCCTGATTCTTCCCTGGATGATTATATTGAAAAGAACCATTTAGATGTTTCTGACTATGAAGATGGTGCATCTGCAGAACAGGTCCATACCTTGCCTAGCTGGGTGGCAGTGGGAGAACAAGTGTGTGTTGGAAGTAATAAGACTGGCACAGTGAGATACATTGGACCAGTGGATTTTTCAGCTGGAATCTGGGTTGGAGTTGAGCTAAGCGTTCAGTTGGGTAAGAAGCTACAAATATACTGTAGGTTGTGTACATCATGTAGGGCAAGTTTTAAAGTTATTCTATATAATTGGTTGTGGGGTTTTGTTGCTCTTGTTTTAAAAAGACCACTTTTCCTCAGGGAAGGAAGTCAAGAATACTGTTCTTTAACTTGATTTTACTAATATGGTCTCTCTTTTGATGAGAAAATGGAACAGAGAGACTTGAGTGTAGAGCTGTCTACAGAAGAGACCTTCATTTTTTTTTTTAGAGTTAATAACAAACCAAGACTCTAGATTTAAGATTTAAAACTGGAATGTTTTCTGAGACCTGGACATTTGTGTTTTTTAAACTTTTGAACCTGATGTGTTGAAACACTTGCTTTTGTGAAGAGAATAAATATTAGATCTAATTCTTAACTACAATAGTAATGTGATGGGGGTGGGGTTCATTAATTCTTACATATCAGGTACTTCTGCTGTGACAGCTTTAAGCTCAAGTACTCGGCAACAAATATTTGAAGACATTTACATGTATGAGTATTTTAATTGTATGTGATGGCTAGGTATCATATATTATTAATTCCATTAATTTTTCTTTTTATTGAAGGTAAACATGATGGAACTGTAAAAGGCAGAGAATACTTCCATTGCAAGCCCCGGCATGGTGTATTTGTTCGTCCTGGGCGCCTCAGTAAAACACCAGCTTCAACAAAGAGGTGTAGTAGCACTTCACGATCTCAGGCACCCTCCAGTGTAGGAAAACGAAAAAGTTCTGTACTTCCAGGGCCATCATCCTCTTCTAAAACAGGAGAAGCAGTCCTCTGTCAGTCAGGAGATGCAGCAGCCTCTGCTTTTTCTAGGAAACAGGAGAACAGGAAGTCTTGGATTAATTAAACTGCAGTATTTTTGCACTTAGTACACACACCACTGTGTGGAAACCTTTATGGATTTTAAAAGTTTAATGTACAGTTTTAA